AGAGAGAGAGAGAGAGAGAGAGAGAGAGAGAGAGAGAGAGAGAGAGAGAGAGAGAGAGAGAGGGAGCACACGAAAGAGTTTGCTGAAATAAAGTATACCTCGTTCAGAGCGTGGACGAGAGCCTCCTCTCCAAGCGATGCATACACCGTAACAGCTGTCACAGACATTCGACAGCAAGCCTGCATATACAATACGAGTCAAATACAGCCGAATTCACATGATCAGACTCATTACCTGACCAGTAATATCACTTACACCTCTCTCTCTCTCTCTCTCTCTCTCTCTCTCTCTCTCTCTCTCTCTCTCTCTCTCTCTCTCTCTCTCCCCTCTTCCGCTTGAAGTCATCGATGGAGTGAAAGTACGACAAGTATAATCTAGTCGGATGATAGGAAGAAGAGACGAACAAGCAAGCAATGGCTGACAACATGCTCCTGAACACGGGATTTACAAATATGAACAATAACTTCACAAATCCAACGCGTCCTTTACGACTCAGATTGAAAATTAACCAAAAAAAAAAATTTAAAAATCTTATATGACTTTAATGGGATTTAGTAAATTTCGGTTTCTTCGTTCTTATTGCAACCTCAACTTTCAAAATGACATCATAAAATTTCACTAGAATACATAACAGTAATTTTTAATAATTTTGTATATTAATAGCAATTTTATACAACTGGAAAATACCACAAAAAATACATGCTATGAATAACAGTGCCCTGCCGTCTTCACCCCAATACAGAAGGCAGGCCCGGTCATTATCGCTGTATCTGGACAGAAAGTTGCCCCAAATACAGCTATGCAATTATAATAACGACCACGTGTTCTATTCGGGTGAAGACGGTACCGTCTTCCCGCGCCGAATAGAACGTACGGTCATTGTCCCTGTATCTAGCCTGGAAATTGGCCCAAATACAGAGGTATTGTGACCGTTTACAGTATCCAGGTGAAAACAACTGTAGTCATGCTGCGACCAGTCACGCCGCTGTTGTAGCCAAAATCAATTTTGAAAAAAAAAAAAAAAAAAAAAAAGCGGTGTGATCTGCGGCAGAGAAAAGGGATCGCGACGCAAATCGATAAGATCAAAAATGGGAAGCAGACGACGGAATCTAGTCGTAATAGGCGTCCGATACATCCAGGAGGAAAGTCCTCGTATTGAGAAATATGCAATCAGACGAGATCACTCCGATCCGAACATTCATCGAACATTCATCGAAGAGTCATCGAACAATCATGCTGTGCTTGTGACCGAAAAAAACGCTGTGTGTCCTTCGGGACATCCGTTTAAATTGGAACGATACAGAGAAGGGTAAATTAGCAAATGGACCCTGCACAGGGAAACGAACAAAACAAAAAAAAAAAACAAAAAAAAAAAAACCGTCACCTCTCACTA